GGGCCCTCTTGCTCAGAAGAGGCAGTGTGACGGGGGTTTGCCCTTTGTTTACCTGCTACCTGGAAATTAACAGATGGCTGGGGCCAGGTAAAGAGTGATCTCATGCCATGGAAGAATGAACACCTGTGATATCCTGGATTGAGGGCTTTGCTGTCAGTATTTGCTGTCAACATATGGAGGCCAGCTTAAATGGATTCTTATTTCACTATTTGTTTTGCTTTCATTGAAGCCTGTGCTTAATTGCGAGAAAGTTGTATGCGTTACCTATAAATCCATGTGCTTATATTAAAAAATGGAAAAGATAATAAAAGGATTCTAGTGCCCGTAGGCCTCATGTTCGAGACCCTTCCCATATATTATGCCTTTACTCAGGTGCTGGATCTGCAGCAAGCCAGCAGAGAGATGCCTGTCAGTTGCAAGCATGCTGCATTGTGCAAGGTCTTCCAACTCACCCAGCGCATGCCGAACTGAGGTACTGGTAACATGTGTGCTCCCCCACTCCAGCCCTGTTTATGCCAGGGCAAGCAGTGGGGTCCACATCTGCATCAGGAACACTATTTATTTATGTATTTATGTATTTATTTCTGTGCCACCAAATAGTTGCAAAGACTCTCTAGGCAGCATGTAACTGGAAATATGGCATGGGCGGCAGGGAACTTTAATCCTTCCCCCCTGCTGGAGACTCACTCTGGACTGGGATCTCTGTGCCTTCATTTTATGCCGCCAAATACTGGCCCATGAAAGCAAATCGGTTGCTGTTTATCAACATATATTGGAGGTGTAATTTGTACGTGGACCAGGGGAGGTTAAAGCCCCCAACAGCCTGGGTCACCATGGTCCCTCCTTTTGTGGGCAGCAGGGGAAACTAGCATAGGCTGAGAATGGGGCCTCCTGGGGGATGGAACAGCCAATAGCTGCCCACAGTGTGGGACAAGCCAAGGATTCCCACAGCAGCATTTAGAAGGGCAGAATGGCAGTGAGTGCTAAACCCCTGGGACAAAAGAGCGGAGCAAAGTCAGGATAATCTAGCTGGCAGCTGGCATGTGGAAACACATAGACCCAATGCACAAAGCACATTACATCCAGTAGCCCCTTGGTGAAGGATACTCTTGAAGGGGTATGTGAATCGCAGCACCTTTGTAGGCTGGGATGACAAGAGTGACTCCTAAAGGTCATACTACTGAATTGGTCCAGGACCCGAACATGCACATCTTCCTGACTCGCTCTCCTTTCTTTCTCCTCAGATGAGCTGAGCTCTTTGCATGGTTTTCCAGTGGTGGAAGTGCAGCAGCTGGGAGATCCAAGGAGAGAAGTTGCGCTTCTGCTTGATGTGACTTGTGGATCTTGAAGAGCCTAAGTGGACTTTCAGAGATTGTGTTCTACCAGTCGAATGAGATCCCATAAAACTCTGAACCGTGGGATGACTGTGCAGCTAAGATGCGCCAACAATGGGGTTGAATTGCAGGAGGGGTGAACATCCCTGTGGACAGGGCCGATCTTACTGCTTTTCTAGCGTTGCTTAGTGCCTGGACTGTGTCTTCTCCTGGCAAGATCAGCTCTGACCTTCGAAACAGTTCTCAGCTTGCACTGTTCGGACATATTGTAAATGCAGAGAGGTCCGCCTGGCGCCATCGTTATTTGCTTTTCTGCACCAGGCCAAGACCTTTTTATTTAAACGTCATTTTAATTGTTAATTTTATTTATTGATTTTAACAACTTTGGGCAGGATGTCTCCAACTGTATTTTATTGTATCTATGATACTTATTCATGTTTGTAAGTCGCCCAGAGGCTTATGCGAATGGGGCGGCATATAAGTCTGCTAGCTAGCTAAATAAATAAATGGGGCTGTTTTTGAAGAACTTTCAGAAACTGGCTGATCCAGAGGGCAGAAGCCAAGATTTTGCAAAACCATTTCGCAAATGATATTGCTGTACTTTTCGCATGCTGCCCAAACATTGCATGGCTTTCCAGATAACCAAGTGGTTCAGCTGATTGTGATTTCAGGAGATCATGTTAAATTTTGACCCATCATTAGTAGAAGAGACTTTGCATTCAAAGTTCATTTTTCTATTGAAAAAAATAATTCTCCAATATTTATTTATTTATGTTTGCTTATGTATGGCACTTGTATGCCAACCCATAGCCAAAGGTTCTCTGGGTGACTCACAGCGCAGCCATAAACTGTGATACAGGATAAAAATAGAAAACACATAAAAATAAATAGCAATAATAACTATGCCAATGAAACCGAGTAAACATACAATATGAATACAAAAATAGAAATAGAAATACAACAGGAGGAATAAGCACAATGTAACCATTAAAGCAACAAACCAGTCAAACAGTAATCCAGCATCAAGACCAATCATCATGCTCTAAAAACAGATACTAAATAAAAAAGTCTCAACTTGGTGCCAAAAGCAAGGTAAAGCGGGTGCCGGTTGCATCTCCCTTGGGAGGGAATTCCAAAGGTGAGGTGTGACTACAGAGAAGGCCCTTTTCCTCTCAAATTCCCCCCTCTCCTCATTTGGGGAGGGGGTTCGGGAAGGAGGGCTTCCATTGATGACCTGAGTGGTCTGGTAGGGATATATGCACACAGGTGTTCCTTTAGCTATCCCGGTCCCAAGCCGTTTAAGGCTTTGTATATTAGCACGAGCACTTTGAATTGGGCCCGGGCAATGGCAGGCAAACCATGCAGTTGGCGGAGGACCAGCGTGATATGTTCTCTGGGGATGGTCCTTCTTGGTGACCACTCTGCTCTGCGTTGGATTAATTGGAGAGCCTGGACTGTCTTCAAAGGCAGCCCTATGCAGAGCGCATTACAGTAATCCAGGCAAGAGGTTAGCAGCACATAGATAACTGTGGCAAGGCTCTGCTTGACCAAGTAGGAGCGTAGCTGGAAGATCAGCCTAAGCTGCGAGACTGTGCTCCTGGCTACTGAGGCCACCTGAGAAACAAGGGAGAGCTCAGGCTCCAGGAGCACCCCAGGCTACAAACCATCTCTCTTAGGGGGAGTGCCATCTCTTGCATCCCGTGATCATCCAGGCACCAGTATTGGAAGGACAGGATCAGTATGAGTGGAGTGCCAATCCCATCTGACCAGGCTCCCGTGAGGTCTTCCTTGCCTGGAATTGACGGAGCCCCAGCGCTGTCTATAGAAATCGGCCTCGAATTCGCGGCAGCAGGGTGGAGCCAGCCACCTGGCTCTGAGGTCCTGGTCGGTGATCGGGAACCGAAACAATCGGGATGTCTGTCAGGCCCTGCACAGAAGTGAATGCTTGGGAGTGATGGTGACGGGAGTCGCATCTTGGTCCTGAGGTGGGATCGGTCTGCGTGTTCCATGGGTGGCAGTACACGGATTTCTCCTTCCAAAAAAGAAGCAAGCCGTGGAGGGGGTGGAGGCTGAGCCCTGCCTTCCTGTGCTGGCCTTGATACAGCAGAGGAAGATCGGTGTGGCTCCTGTTCAGGCACCGTCTCTTCGGTACGTGGGAGGGCAGCTGGAGGAGGCACGTTTTAGTGCGTTTGGGAGCATTTGGCGCCATCTTGCTCCTCCTCAAAACTGGGCATTTTCAGAGCTTTATTTTTCTTATCCACTCTTTAAGGCTTCCCTGCTTTGATCTCTTCTCCTGGGGAACATTTGTCTGTCTGCTGGAGGTAGGCACACCTGAGGTGGTCACTTGAGGGGAGCTGTCTGCATGTAAAGTGCAGCTCCAGAATGTGGCTCTTCATGGTCTCTGTGCATCATGCATGCGGGCTCTGTGTTCGAGTATGGAGTTGTTTTGGAAAGATCCCAAAGCTGATGATGATTGTGCATGGGGAGTCTGGCCCCTGGGCAAACCCAGCGTGTGGGGAGGGGCTCCCACTGAGACCTCACTTCTTCTCTGACCACCATTGTGAGCTGATCAGGAAGTTTCTCCTCTACTACTTACCTCATGAACATTTGCCTCTTCAATTCGACTCCGACCTTCTATCATCTCCAGGTATCTTCCACTTCATTTCTTCTTTCTAAAAGAAAGAAGGAAAGAAAAGAATATAATTTTTCCCACTTTCCCTTCCAACAAAATGGTGCTCAAGGCCCTGTTCTGCAACTGCGTGGATTGTGGAAGCAAGTTACTGCCTACTCACACACAATCCCTGTGCCTTTTTTTGCCTGGGAGAAACCATGTTGATGCCTGGTACCATCAAGCATGTACTAACCAGGTGAGAATACTCTACGGCCAGATAACATTTGGTCATACTACCAACAGCTCCCCATGTTTTCATGAAATGCACAGCTGTTGTTTGCGCTCACCTCTGTCTCAGTGGGGTCCATATATACCCCCATTTGGATGATTGGCTCATTGTTGCCTCATCTAGAGAAGCTTCCACTCAGGCTACTAATTTAACAGAGGAAAAACATGGTAAATAAGCACTAGATGTGAGAATCAATCACTTGGATTGTACAATATGTTTGCCTGCAACTAAAACCTCGGAAGCCAGAAATAGTTCCCTATTCTCAGATGTACAGAAGAGAAATGCAATAGCACGCAGTTCCTCTAAACCAATCGTCAGGTTACACGGTTCATCGCTTCCTCTGCTTGTTTTGCCTCTCCCCTTGGACCCAGTGGCTGGCCACCTGGCAGCTGTTTATCAGTAAAACAACACATTTCATTGTTATTGTCTTTCCTTTAACTAAAGAACAAATGCAGAACAGCTGTCTCCACAGCCTGACATGTTCAGCTTGGTTGTACCTTCTTCCAGACAGAGAAGTCAGGCTGGTAAACTTGTATGGCTCTCTGGATGGGTTACAAGATACAAGAAACAAACTACAGCAAACTGTGTCTTGTCTTCATGGATTGTGTTTTGGCACCATGCTTCTGTTGGTGACCTTTTTCAGCTTGACTCTGATTTTTATATTACTAGTTCATAGTCATCTCCACAATCTGTATCTCATGAATCCAATTATATAGTTAACTTGATTTCTCCCTTGGTCCTCTGGTGAAGTCCATTTGACAGTCATCTGAAGTATGTATTTCCAGTGAACAAATGGCTGGCCTCACATAATTATTCTATGAGTCACTTTCCTCCTCTGTTTCTGATCCCTATGCCAAATTTTCATATGATGTATGATTCTGCTTTGTTTCCTACTTTTGTATTCCAGTCACCTAGGCTTATCAGAATATCTTGTTTTGGAGTGCTGTCAATATCCTCTCTGGCACGTGAACAGAAGGATCTGATTCCTCCCCTCCTCCTCCTCCTCCTCCTCCTCCTCCTCCAGGATCTGTTGGTGGAACATAAGCTTGAATTATGGTTATGTTGACAGGTTTTCCGAGAATTTTGATTAATATTATTCAGTTGGACTTTGCATTACAGCCTCTTACTGCCCGTGCAACATCTTGCCTCAGTATTAGAGCCATTCCATTTCTTCTGAGTTTGTCTTTTGCAGAATAAAAGAGTTTGTGCTTATTGGACTCAAAATGTCCCATTTCAATCCACTTTAGTTTGCTCACACCACATCATTGGTGATGTTCAGCCATTCCATTTCTTGTTTTATAGTTTGCCTTGATCTATACTCCCCATGTTCCAAGGCCCAACAGTACGGGTTGTGTACCACTGGCCTTCCCTTTCACCCCTGGTACCTCAGCCACTAGACTTCCTTTTGGCTTTGATCTAGTCATGTCATTAGTGACAGCACTTTTCCTGCTTTGCTCTTCCCCAGTAGCCTTCCAACATGGGGATCTCATCTTCTCGTTTCCTTTTGGATAATTTCTCCACAGGGTTTTCAAGGTAAAAAATATCCAGAAGTGATCTGTTACCGCTTCTTCTGCACTGTACTAACCAGAGTAGCTTGAGCTTCACGCCATGGTCTTTGAACGATCCTCTGCCAGTGTCACCCTCAGCTACTGTTCTTCAGGAGAGTCTCTGCATTCTCTTCTGCTGATGAGACTCTTCCTCCTAAAGAAGGTGGCTACGTCTTAGGTTGGGATATCCAGGCTGACCATTTCGCCTTGGGAGACCTGCTAGGCGAGTCTGGCCACCGGGCGACATTGCTCTTTGCCTCTCTGACACTCGCAGACCTCTCTCACCATGCATGGTGTGCATCCAAGAGGGGAGCTGACCTGAAAAGGGGGTGTTAACAATGGGCTGGCGGTACTCCAAAGTCAGAGGTTCAGAGCAGTTTTCTGCAGACTGTGTTAAATACTGGTGTCAGTGTTATACTTGTGGATCGACCCTTGGTGCCTTCCTTTCCTGTATCGCCTTTCCTTTCTTATTGTATCTCGTGAAAATGAATTAAGAAAGGGTAGAATTACAAGCATGCCGGGCTTATGGCTCGGAGGCAGCATCCCGACATGGCGGGTCGAGGAGCAGCTTTCGCCAAACTGGCACCGCAGGGCAGGGCGCCTCGATGGAGACCTCGAACTGGCTTCTGCTGGGCTGCTGAACGGCCCGTTCCTGGAAGCGCCGCCGCAGTCCTGGAACTGGGGGCGTGCAGGTAGCGGGGCGGGGGCGGTGGGGCGGTTGGAGGCCGGCGTGGCTGGAAGAAGGGGCCAAAGACCCACGATCGCGCATCTTTCCCAGGGTGCTGCCACTTGCTCCCAGTTTATGGCCCATGGAGGCGTGGTCGCCTCTGATATTTGCTCTGTAAACTCTGGATGCGGACCTCCGTCCCTTAAAAAGCCTCCCGTGCAGAGCCTCCCTTTGGCACGGCCGGAGCAGCACTTTGTACAGCCATTGGGAGCTGGATACTTAATGCCATTCTCATCATTGTCCTCGTCATCAGAAGCCCCACTTCATCAGGTGAATGGGTGGATGCCCTGTGCTGTGTCCTCTGTCGCCACAGGCCTTCCTGCCCCTCCAAACATTTCTCGTTCTGCCCTGAGGGGTTACCAGCTTCACTGGGGGCAGAGCCAGAGTGGTGCAGGGGTCACAGTGCTGGGCTGGGGCTCTGGGTTCAAGTCCCCAGTGTGCTGAGAAGCTCTTGGTGTGTCTTTGGGCCTAGCACTGCTTCTCACTAACTCACCTCAGAAGCCAATGGGGATCCAATGGAGTGGGAGAACCATGCTGGTTGCCTCCTCCCCCTTGACAAAGGAGAAAAGGCAGGGCATAAGTGTAATCATAAATATAAAAATATTCACAGAATCCACCTGATGCTGATGGGCCAAGGACTGCCCATCCGGGAGTGAGTGGCAGCCCTGGTGGAAACTGTGGCCCTGCCTGTACCCCAGCACCAAGGTGGGCACCAAGCTGTCCACTTCTTTCCCCCAGGATCCGCCTTGCCTGTTTCCCCATCGCCTATGCAGGCAGGCACGGGAAGCTGCCATGTTCGGTGTCAGACCTTTGGTCTGTCCCGCCCAGGATTCTCTGCGGTGATCGGCAGCAGCTCCGGAGGTCGTTTCTCAGTCCTACCCGCAGAAGCCGGGGACTTCCAAGCACCCTGGATCTTTCTGCATGCAGTGCATGCGCTCCGTCAATCTGCCACCCTCCCTCCCCCAGTGCACCTGAGTCTCGGGCACTCAGGACTTAGAGGTAGGAAGGGAGGTGGGGCGTGGTTGCTCAGCCCCCTGATTGTGGCAAAGCTCCCCTCATGGTCGCAGTAGCTGTACTAAGATGCAGGGAGCACCGATCTCACCTTCTTCACGCCTCTCGCCACAGGGACAACCCCAGCACAACTGCCAGGGGCTCCCGCCACTCCAGTGGGCTGCTGTCCAGATGGCTGGGCTGGCTACGAAAGGAGATGCTACCATTTTGCCGAGGCAGAGAAGAACTGGACATCCAGCAAGTCCGACTGCTCCTCCCTCAACGCCTCTTTGACAGTAGTCGACTCCCAAGAAGAGATGGTGAGCCGCAGGACACGGGCTGCAGCTGTGGCCAGTCCAATCCACTGCATGTTCCCATTCAGTTCAGTGATCTGGATGGGATGTTTGGATCTCCAAGGAAATTATGTCTCCCCACAAGATGTGGAAAGGCACAAGATCTGGTCCATGTCTTCCTGCATTTAAGTGCCATCATGTGTTATGCCCCTGACAGAGCTAGTGCATTTTTACCCTCCTTCCATTTTAGAAGTCCAATTTTCTATTGATTTCCACGGATGGCATTTTTGGATGATTCACCAAAACAGTCAGTTGAGTCTTGTTTTCTATCCAAAGGTTTTGCACAGCTGTGCTGCTTGGTATTCTTCTGGCCTGAGAAAACATGGTCTCAAGATCTGGGTTAGGTTATTATGATTGACCTAACGTTCTTGTATCAGCAGCAAATGGAGTTTGCCTGGACTGGGGATGGTATGTGTGCATATATATTTTTAACCTCTGTTAAGAACTTCCTGAGACGCTATAAAACTCCTGCTGACTACTGGATTGGCCTCCGAAGAGATCTAGAAACAGATCCCTGGAGATGGATCGATGGTACCATTTTCAACAACTGGTGAGTCCGGAAACTGGCAGTTTCTCAGAAAGACCGGGCATGAAACTATCAAGGCACATGCAAATATTTCAGGGATTTCTCTACAGTAGCTTAGACCTAAATGGAAACAGTGGAGCAAAACAGAGAGGTGGGTGTAGTTTTAAGCTTTCCTGATACAAAAACATTTAGAAGAGCATCCAGCAAAGAATATCCATTGACCGCTTAGCAACCTTGTGGACTGGTTGTTAAGCCTTGACTTGGCCCCTTTCGCTGCTTTGTTCCCCAATTTCCTTTGGGTGTTCCTTTCTGCTCTGTGATGTGATGCTATTTCTCAGGGTTCCTGCTCCTGTGAATGTTTGGACATCTGTTGTGTTGCTCTTCAGGTTTCCAGTCGGTGGACTAGGAGAATGCGCTTACGTGAACCAGAGAGGCATCGCCAGCTCCAGCTGCGCCATAGAGCAAGCCTGGATCTGCAGCAAGCCGGCAAGCAGGTGACGATCCGCACGCCTGGCGCTGCGTCGCACCAGCTCTGCCCTCCCCCTGCCCACGGCTCCCAGGTAATGACAAGTCGCGTCTCCCTGCAGCCGCCGCCGCCACCGAAGGGCCCAGGTTACCTTTGTGCTGTGACGGCCGCAGCCTTGCAATGTGTGTCGGTGGGCCTGCCTGCGAACGTTGGCTGGGGAGACCGACCCGCCTGGTCTTTCATGGGCAGTGCTCCGCATTCGTGCCTTCCGTGCTGCTTGGCACTTTCCCTTTCCCCCAAGAGCAGGAAGTCCAGTGCCGCCAGGGCCCTCTTGCTCAGAAGAGGCAGTGTGACGGGGGTTTGCCCTTTGAATTGTTTGCCTGCTACCCGGAAAGTAACAGATGGTCGGGGGCCCAGGTAAAGAGTGATCTCATGCCATGGAAGAATGAACACCTGTGATATCATGGACTGAGGGCTTTGCTGTCAATATTTGCTATCAACAAATGGAGGTCAGCTTAAATGGATTCTTCCTTCACTATTTGTTTCGCTTTCATTGGAGCCTGTGCTTAATTGCGAGAAAGTTGTATGTGTTACCTATAAATCCATGTGCTTATATTAAAAAATGGAAAAGATAATAAAAGGATTCTGGTGCCCGCAGGCATCCGGTGAGAGACCCTTCCCATGAAGTATTCCATGACTGAAGTGCGTGACAAATGCAACAGGAAGGGAGGACCTGCACCAGGGAGCTTCTGGTGTGAAATATTTATCCTAGCTGGATCCAGACATCTTTTCTGGGAGCCTGACATGCACATCTCAGTCAGCTGAATTTCCCCATCACTCTTCTCAATGCTTCCTTGTCATCTCGTTGCAGAGATACAGTCAGGCTGTGTCGGTTGACGAAAGAAATGACTTGTTGCTCTAATATCAGAACAGATTTTTCTAGATCTGAACAATGGTGACATGAATAAGATCCCCTTAGGGCTCACCCACATCATTCCCCTTCTCAGTCTTGCTTTGAACCAGCCACTCCATACCTTTCCCTGAGCTGACCTAACCTAATATGCCTGTATGGGTTCTCCAGCAGGATCAAACGACCTTCAGAAAACCCAAACATGCTGCTTGCGTAATAGGGAAGCAGGTGAGAAGGGCAACATGCTTCCCACTCCCTGCCCTCAGTGGTACGATGGACATACTGCCCACAGGGGGGCCGTGTGAGCACTCATTCATTTGCGGGGTGCTGATGTCTTCTGCTCCCTCCCTCAGATGAATCTGTTTCTTCTCTGCTCAGGAGACCTTTACACTGTACTGGAGGAGGAGGAGGAATGGATTTTTCCAGGAACGATCATATCTTTTTGGAATCCAAAATCTTTGATAGTGGCTTGGTCTAGAAAAGCCAAAGAGGTCGCATTAACTTTGCAAATGACTTGCTCCCTGCAGAGAAAAAAACTGCTAGAAATGGATTACAGGTATTTTGCTCAAAGAAGCATAGCTGTTCAGAGTTTTTATTTTGGACTTGCAGCAAACAGCACATTAACAGCACATCGTGCTTATACGTAAACTAAAATTGAGAGCCAGCGTGGCATGGTGGGTAGAGTTGGGACTTGGGTTTGGATCTGATTCCAGTCCCCACCTGGCCAGGAGGTTCACTGAACTTTGGGCCAGTCATGGACTCTTAGCCTGACCTAACTTGCAGGGCTGGTCTGAGGAGAGAAATGAAGAGAAATGGAACCTTGTATGCCACTCCACCTTGAGTTCCTTGCAAGAAGAAAAAAGGTGAGATACAAGTGCAGTGTAAGATTAATAATAATAAAATGTCACAGCAAGAACGCCTCTTTCTGGCAAACCCATTGGTGTATTGTTGCACATTTGTCAGATGCTATTGTATGCCTTATCGGATCCTTTGTGGTATGCTTTATCTGACCACAATTACTTCCAGGAGTATATCTTGGTTCTTGAAACCTGTGAAAGAGAAGCAAATACCTGCTTATCAGAGCTGAGGCCTGCACAAGCATTTTTGTTTTCATAAGAAGCAAGGTAGCCCAAAACCCCATCCTAAGGGGTCTTTATGGGCATTTGGCATTTCTCAAAAGTGCACAAGTACTCTTAGAGCAGACAGGCTGAACAATCCTCGCTCGCCTTGATACTGCGACTGCCAGCTACTGTACTCCTGCTTTCTCCATTTCAGATCCTTGGGAAGGAGAGATCGGAAACTAAGTTGCTGGGCTCCAGGTTGGGGGGAAGACAGCAAAGGTGGGACCTCCATGGAAGTTTCAAGCTTTTTAGGAGCGTACAAACATTCTTGAGCCAGCGTGGATCCGACCAAAGGCCTGTTTAGTCCAGCATTCTGCTCGTGCAGTGGCAGGACGGTTGTCCCAGTGGGAAGCCCATGAGCAGGACAAGAATGTAGCGGCACCTTCCTGCCCATGTTCCCCAGCAACCGATGTGCATAGACACCCTGCTTCTGTCCTGCCAGGTGCATGCTGCTAACACATCTCATAGCCACCGACAGCTTTTAACATGCCACCGATGGGCCTTTAACATGCACAACAGTCCTTTAAGTTAGGCCTGGAAACCCCCAGTTTTCCACTGGTGCTGCTGGGACACTGCTGGTGTTATGAGCTGTGATTGCCAGCCCTGGAGAGCGGACAGGCAGTGGGCTGCATGCGTGGGAGCTTCCCAACCACCTTGAAAGGCTGCCCAAATGTGGTCCAGCAGTCCAGCTGGGCATGGATGCCGGGAGCAAGGTCTGTTTTTGCCAGGTCGGGATGCTGCTGGTGAATCGGCCAGGGCTGAGGAAAGGCATGGCTCGTAATGAACACACCTGGTGTCTGCATGGATGGTGCAACAGGCAAGCGGCACACTTGGTCCTTCAGAGGGAGTGTGTTCCATCAGGGCCAGTCTCGTTCCGCCACCCAGGCTGGCAGGTTCCCCTGCCGCCTTCACCACTGCAGAGCAAGCCTGGAGATGGGGCGCCCAGGCATTCTGCTCTGAGGCTGCACCACGTAGTGCCAGGGGCTGCAAGCAGACACCCACCTTCTCCGCTTCCTGCACTTGAACCACTAGTGGATCCTCTGTTCCATGACTGCTAAATTTGCTCCGGGGTCTTTGATGAGGGGCATTGTCAAAAGACAATGCAAAACAGGGGCACAGTTTGCATGTCCCAGTGGCAAACCGCGAGTTCTTTAACGCAGGATTTGCAGGGATACCCACCTTATGTGAGCTGTTTCCATTTTCCGTAAAGTATGATTGTCCTGCTTATAGACCGTGTGCATGTTATCTGAGCCCAGGTGCGGCAGGTTTATGGACTAAACAAGCCAGCATTAACCTATAGTTGTTCCAAATAGATTCAGCTCTGAAAGTTCCGTGATTTTCTGCTACAATAATTGAAAGGAAAGGAGGGGAAAAAAAGTTTCCGTAAAAGAGGAACTCACATGTTGGGATCCAGCTGAGAGCCTGTGATCCACGTCCATTTAGTTCCAGACCATTCCAGTCCTATCCAGTATCTCTGATCTGATAAAAGTTTTTGAATGAATCCCTGTATTGAAGAGAAAGTATTCTGAGGCACTAAGACTGTTGTGTTCCCCGCATTTTCCTGCCTGTTTCACAGTTGTTGAGCAGCAGAGCGTCCTACCTTTAGTATCCATCTGCTTAAAGCTCCTTTCCTGTTTCTTTCTCTCCATCCAAACACCAATCTCTGCTTCACAATTTATTTTATCGCCGCTTGTATTCATCTAGACAGACGTGCACATCCAGACGGAACACAGTGCCTTCTGGCTGGGCATCAGCAGACGAGGTCTGCACCCCACACTGCAGAGTCCAGCCTCTGGGCTGGGATGCAGCTCAGCTCCACCACAGACAGGACCCCCATGCTGACAGACTGGAAGCCTTCCTAGGACGGCTGGGATCCCTCTGAGCCCCAGCTGCAGCCTCAGCCCGGAGGGCAACACAAAGCTTGTGTACTCACAAAGCTCATGGTGCACCCCTCCAGACTCTCCTGAAGAAATATGCTCACAAATACAAACTGAATAACCACCAGCTCAGATGCCTGCCTGCAGCAAGGTGCAGAGCCTCTTCTCCAGAGACCAAGTCCAGCAGGTCCTCAGCAGGTCGTGCTCCCTTCCCCTGCCTCCACCCTCCTTCCCTGCTACACCAAATAGTTATGGTTCCCCAGCTTTGGGTAGCCTTTACTCCCTGCTTATTCTTTTAGACTCTCCTACAGCTTGCAAGAAAAATTGGAGAGCCTGCTATAGTTGCACAATCAAAAGCACATTTCCAGTTTATTTAGACATGCAGGAAATGCATGGAGCTTGTAGGTAGTTCCCAAGTGGGCCACGTGATGGATCCGTACAAGATCCTTTTGTAACCTATAAGTTGCATACATGGTTTGGCGGCGGGTGGGGGATCCCATAGGCAGTTTGCTAGAGGTCTGTGAGAGTAGAACAATAGGGCTGAAAGTACCAGGACACACAACACAAAAGGAAGAGTCTTCGGGGCAGGCATGTACAACCCCTATGAAATACTGGTTTGGCCGAAAGACATGAAATGAAGAAAGAGCGGGACTTTAGGAAATTCAAATAAAAAAGAATGCAAAAACTGATGCAGGAGGAGCTGGTGCCACTAAGGTCCTTGCTGACCTGGTCTAGCTATATTTCCTACATGCTTGTGTGGAGGGGTGAATCCACATAATGAATTCAGGTAAATGGCACCGAATTGGCATTTTATTCCAGGAATTTGAAGATTCTGCACATGCAGCTGACTCTTCTGTGTTCAGACCAGTTGAAGAGGACATTTTGAACTATTTCATTCGAATTGGATTCAGAATGACATAGCATTTTGTGATGATTAGAATTGTTTATGCTGTTTTGTTATAAAATTGCTGATATGAGGTTCATTTTGTATGTTACGTTGTGCTGCAATGTTCATTAGGAAGCAAATAGCCCCACAGAACTTGCCAGTTACACAAGCATCAGCCTTGCTAAGGTGTATCTGGGGAGCAGGAAAGACTTGCAACATGGATTCCTGATCAGACCAGAAATCCCACCTCAATTCTAAAGCTGCTCTCAGTGTGAGGCCTCCAGCAGTCCTATTATGGCCGAGCTTCCACTCATGTTGTCCGGACCAGTAGTAAGAGTTTTCGGCCAAAACTTGCGGGTGTCCCTCCTCCTACTCCAACACATTCTGCCCCCACAAGTATGTGCCCCAGAGTGTCTCCAAAAGGGCAAACGGGCCCCTGGGCTGGAAGGGATCGTGCTTCCCGGCCTGGAGAGCCGGTCGGTTCTATGAGAAAACTGGACTGTTCTGCTTTGGGCTGTAGGTAGGGGAGGCTCATCCGAGAAAGTCCTTCCACTGAACAGTCCTGACTGATTGAAAATGCAGCATGGCAGGAAAAGCTGCGGGTGGACCCTTCTTCCTTGGGTTTCCTTTACTCAGATACTAGGCATTGGGATCCACAGGCACTTTTGGAATTGAGAAGCTGCTGTAGGGACCCCACAGGATGGCTGCAAGGAGCGTCTAGCTAGTCTAGAATGGCTGTGGTGGCCTGGGAGGAGCAGGGAGGCTGGAGGCCATGAGTGGGGTGGGAGGAACGGGGGGGGGCATTCTGCTGAATTATGAGCCCACCAAGGAATTTACCATAGTTTGGGGACCCACATGATCCTCAGCTCATACCACTGATTAAAGGGTGTGCTCCTGTATAGTTTTGCTTGGAATTCCCCTCCAGGTCAAGCCTTCCTTCAGAAAAAGCAAAGCCATTGTATGCCAAGTATTCCGTGACTGCATAATTGCCCCCTTTACCAGTTCTTCTTGACTTTGGATCACGGCCAGTTGAGAACCCCTTGTGAAGCAGTAATCTCTGCTCTGGTTCCAGAATTTTAAATCCTCCGATGGCCAGTAGCACTTGTCCTTGTGGAGGTGCCAGTCTGCAGGGCAGAGGTGGCAAGCGAGACTTCCTGCAGAAGTGGAGAGAGGTGGGACACATAATTGATATTCTAGTTAGGATTCCATTTCCAAAGCAGAATATTGAGAAGTGTAGGAATCCTGTGACCAAAGTGCAATGAAGAATGGATTCTACTCTATTGTGGCTCAATGCCCGCAGTTCCTTGAAGGTGCTGGATAGTTTCACTCAACCTAAATCAGCTGCTCTGGTTCCAAGAAACTGGTGGTTGGTTACTTGTGGTGTTTCTCAACAGAGGGCTCTGAGCATTACCAATCCAAAAGCTTTGTGCAGTGATTCCCTCTGTTTTTTTAACCTTAAAAATGTTCTGCAATGAGAAAAAAAAGGAACAGGCTGTAGGAAACACAGCAGAGTGTCAAAGTTGATGACTTTCAGACCCATCATAAAATTCCTTTAAGGAAGAAGCATGATGGTCTTGCCAGGACACACCGAAAGCTGCTTGCTTCTCTCCAGTGTCCTCAGGAGGGAGTGACTTGCAGTGGGGAAAGTGGATTTCCCCGTGAGGGAGGTTCTGCAATGCAGAATGGCCTGGATTTACCTGCGTAGGCCAGGGTCTGCAATCCCAGTTCTGGTGGGGCTGTGGTGGGGAAAGAACAACCTGGGTAGAGGTTGCAAAGGGAAAGCAGCATGCAAATATGATGCAGATCTCTGTTTCCCAATGGCAATTAGCAGCTGCATGTGCTGAAGAATCCACATTCAAATAAACATCTAAGTGGAAGAAGCCAGAAAAGACATACAAATGTGCATTCCATGTGTGCATTGGTAGCTCAAATGCACACATGGGACGCACTCTGCCATGAAGCCCAGGAGGGGTGTTGGGAAGGCCTAACAGAACAGCCTGAGCCTCCCCCGCATCTTAAGCCAATTTCCATGCTGGCAATGCCAACACAACCACCAATGCCGGCAAATCCACTCCCTTCTTGCTCAGCAATCCTGCTGTTGGCACAGATCCCATCAGCCACTACACCTGAAATTCAATCTCATACTGAATGGCTGGAACATCCGCAGCTGCCTCTCTTTCCAGGGAATGCTGTGGTAGTGACACACGAGGACTGTGGAAACTGCAATGTTGGGTTTGGAAGACTGGGGAAACCAGGGTGAAGCATGGAAACCATAGAACAGACCGTTGTTTCTTATCTTGGTTTCTAAAAACCAAACATATGCTGAAATACCATAAGAGGATCTGGATGTTGAAACAGACCAACATGTACTAACAATCATCATGGCTTGCCATGTTGTGCAAACCTGCCCATTCTCTGGGTGGCTTGTAATCCAAATTTAAGATGCCCACCCGTACACTAACACACTGGGTCTATAAGCCATGATGGGTTGTCATGTCATACAAACCCTGTCACCCAGGAGCCCCATGGCAAGTGTGGCAAGAATATTTTGCAGTTTGTGCACAAAAGTGATAAGGATAATAATAGAAAATACTGGTTCACCAGGGGCAGCCTTACCAAGGTACTTCTGAGCACTTTAAAAGGAAAGCTTCCGAGGCTGTGAAAAGGGGATTACAAAAACTGGCTTGACAGTGGGCTTTGTGTGGGAATTCATTGCTGGGTCATGCTGTACTCACGTACCACACGAAGACCAAGAGTATTGTAATTTACCTATGTAACCATATAAGGCTTGTAACCATATAAGGCTTGTAACCATATAAGGCTTGTAACCTAAGCATTAAGGTGTTGGCTGCTTGTATACGATGGCTAATTGGCTGTATTCAAATGCCTAGGTAAAAAGTGTGAAATAATAAAAGCAGATGCCGGTGGTGAGGGGGGAGAAGAGAGAAGAAGAAAAAACCTTGGGGGAAGAAGTTTTTGCTGTTCTCCCCCTGCAACTAAACCGAGCATGCTTTGTAACTGATTTCTGGACTGCAGTCTTTTTTTCTTTCTTTAAACTTTCTCGCGCCGCTTGCCGAGGTTGACTGGCTGGCCCAGCCAACCCGCCACAGCTTTGACTATCTGGAGGAAGCAAAGTTCAAGGGAAAAGAAGCTCACAATCAGGGGAGGCGCACCTTGGTGCTCTCATGGTTTCCCAAGGGAGGATTGAAGTGGGAGGGAGGGCCTAGCGCCCCTCAAGCGCACAGTCAAATGTAGGGGTCATGTGAGGTCCCTTATAAGCCAGAATGCACAGCTTGCTATGCACTGCGGTTTGGCATTTCATTTCATAGACACCTGCCTGTAGTGAGCGACACACCTTCGCCTGCAGACGCTCAGAGGCCACAAAGCCTCACAGACGAACATCTGACGAAGGAAGAAGGGGAAGGCCTTGCACACATCTACTGCAGTTCCTCATCCGTAGCTGTTGATAAAGGACCACATGCTGGTTTTACCTGAGATGCTGTCCTGGGTTTGATTGCAGAGTTTGCTTCTCAGATGAAGCTGGAAGTTTTCGACAGAGTCACTGGGAATTTGGCCACCAGTCCCAGGTTTTCTTTTCTCAGCCTCCAGCTGCAAAGCTTCCGGAAGCCCCAAAGGAAAATTCAGATGTTTAAATGAATGGGCATAAAGTCAAAGTTCAATCAATGGATGCCAAAGAGTAGAAAGAGAAGATGGATATTAGCGCTAAATAGCACAACCCAAGTAAAAATCTATACTACACCTCTCTTTCCAAACGTGCTGGTCACTGACTGTAATAAACAGCTACGTGCCAATGGGCCAATAAAAAGAGATTTTAGAGGCACAGCCTGATGGGATTGGCTCAGTGGGATCCTCTGGCAATACAACAGTGTGATAGGAAGAGCCTATAGAACTCTGACATAAAATCACCCTTGACCCCAAGAAGGAATATCTATGGATTGGCTCAGCAGGAACTCAGGACTGTATATGGTCCTACCCCCAGCCCACAGGCCAATAGGAAGAGCTTTAGAGCCAGGGGCACCCCTTCCAAAAGAGGTGCAGCCAGATTTGATCAAGGCAGCCCTTTTCCTTGTCCAGACAAGGTTTTCCGGAGATGCCAAACACCCTTGATCATTGAATTGTAGAAAGGTTGTAATCAGTCCCAGCCAAGAAATGCCCACCTATTGTCAAAGACAACCAGGAGGGAAGAACTGGCTACAGCTCCTGAGGGTGTAAGCAAGGGAAGATGCTTCTGGACAGAGACTGTACCTGTAGCCATTTTTGCAGAGTTCCTGGGAAAACTGAGGAGGCTTTCACAGTGCTTCTCCAGTAAGCACCGGAACAGAAGGACAGGTGGGGATTTTATAGTTACAATGTGGTGGCAGAATCCCTAAGATGTTGTAATTGCTGTTTGCAGAAGGCTGCGGGGGGCGGGGGGGTGACACATTACAGAGTCAACAAAAGATGAGGTTTCCCATTGACAATAAAGCATCCTGTGTTAAAAGATACTTTGCAAACTCTTTGCAGTCCCTTTGTGTTTTACCTGCCCTAAATAGCTTTCCGGCCAGGGAGGAAAGAAACCACAGTGCAGCACATTTGGAGAGCACCAAACTGAGGGGGGTGGGGGCTGAACTGGAATTAAATTGCTTATCACCACTCTCTGCCGCCACAGCTCAAATATATCCTGATAATATAGGTTGAGGCACTGGGTCCCTGCCCTGACTCTTCTTCAGGGAAATCACTCAAAAAATTCATTTCCCTCTCTGCAGTCTTCTTTCAAGCGTATCCTCCTTTAGTACTCCTTTTACTCTGCTGTCATCCATAGCAGTTTCCCTACTAATCAGTTGCTGTTCGACTTAAGGTTATTAGCAATACACTTCTCAAAACATGTCTGTGCTGCCCTGATTGTCTGCCCAAGAGCGGATTTTTTAAAAATAAGTTTTATTTGAAATTATCCTAAAAAAAAACCAAAAGAAAACAAAAAAGAAAACTACAAACAACATCCAACATCAAAAACATTGAGCCCGCTGGGTCAGCCCCCACACCCTTCTTTTTCCATTTATAATAGCTTAAAAAACATATTTAAATCTATGCCAAGTCCCGTTTCTCTAGCCAATAATAAAAAAAGTCCCAAGTTTGATAGAAGTCCCAAGAGCAGATGCTGACATCCTCTCAATCCTCAATAAAAGTCCATAAATGAGATAGGCCAATTGTATAATAACAAGATAAAAATGCACTTTGTGTTCTTTTTTGTGAACCTCTGTGCAAGTTCATCTGCAAGACTTCCAGGATCTAAATAAAGCTTTCTCTCTCCTGAAAGTTGTTCCCCTGGAATTTCTAATCATAGGATCATAGAAGAGTAGACTCGGAAGGGGCCAGGCGGCCATCAGGTATAAGCCCTCTGCTCAGTGCAAAACTCCCTCACAGAGGGCTGTCAGGTGCCTTTTCAATGTCTCCAGTGTGGGAGAGCCCAATTGCTCTGCACCACAGCCTTTGTGCCCTGCATCCCACAGGGCTCTATTCTGTCCCCCGGACTCCAAAACTTCTACATGAAACCAATGGGAGAGGTCATCAGGAAGTTTGGCTGAAGTGTCATCAGAACGGTGATGATACTCAGCTCCAGCTCTTGTTATCATCATCTACAGGTACATTGACTGTTCTGGATTGGTGTCTGAGCTCAGTAATGGGATGGATATGGGCCAATAAGCTGAGGTTCAGTCCAGATAAGACAGAGGTGCTGTTGGTGGGGAGTCTGTCTGTTCAACTGGGTAATTTTTGATCTATTCTGGATGCGGTTGTGCTCCCACTAAAGGATAAGGTTCACAGCCTTGGAGTGCTCCTGGACCCCAAGCTGTCGCTTGTGACCCAGGGGGACTCAGTTTCCAGGAGTGCTTTTTCTCAGCTTCAACTGATTGATCAGCTCATCCCTACTTGGGTGAGCGGAGCTTTGCCATGGTCATCCATGCTCTGGTGTCCTCCCACTTGGATTACTGCAATAGGCACCACATGGGGCTGCCTTTGAAAACAGTCTGGCCCTCGCAACCTGTCCAAAGTCAGGTAGCACGTCTGCTGACTAGGACTGATGCCTGTGAGCACATCATGCCAGTCCTACGCAGGCTACATGGGCTGCCGGTCGCCATCTGGTGTCAGTGCCTGGGTTGCGGGCAGCTGAATAGCAGGTCAGGGCACCAGGACCCAGACAACTGATACAATGGACAGGCCCATTCCAAATTGTAGTCAGGCAGTCCAGAGGTCAAGACAGATAACAGAGGTGTGAGGGAAGTCAATCCAAATAGAGCAGAGCAGTCAATGCCAGTCAGGAGTTGAAAGCCAGGGAAACAAGTCAAGGAGATGCCTATACGTGGGAAATGGAGTGGAAGCTGGAGCAGGTGAAACCAGGCATGGTCCAGAAGCAGAGGCAGGAGCAAGGCAACCAGCAGAGTTCCAGAAGCGGGTTGCAGAATACACAGGGAGCTTCAAAAGCCTTTGTTACTGAGGCAGTGTCTGAAGGGAAGAGCCAGTTCTTACAAAGCTCTTCCCTCAGGGCTCCCAGGTGGTGCTCATAACCTCCCAGGTGGCTGTGATTGACTATGGGCGCAGTCCTGCAACCACCCAGGCTGCTATTCTGGTCTCTGGCCAGAAGAGGGAGCCCTGGTGCTGCCTTAGAACCTCACAACTTGGCCCGATTCAAAGTGCTCACAAGGACATATAAAGCCCTAAATGGCTTGGGGCCAGACTACATAAGGCAGTGATGACGAACCGATGGCACGCATGCCCAAAGGGGCACCCAGAGCCCTCTTTGTTGGCACACGATCGCCCCAGCAGCCATGTGCATATTCAGAAAGGTTAAGGGCGCCAGGCAATGAGGTCACTCATCAGTCGTGACTCGCTGAGCTTTCCCATGGCCAATCAGTGAGCTACCAGGGATTTCCTTGGACTGTGATTTTGGCAGAAGGTAGGAAAGGTAGGAAATACACTCGGATGCCTTTTTCAGGGCCTGCCAAAAGCTGGTGGTCAGTGGAACACTGCCCCCTGTGCTGGTGCTCAGCAAATTCAGGTTTTATTGCGGTGTTGGCACTTTGCGATAAATAAGTGGGTTCTGAGTTGCAGTTTGGGCACTCGGTTCGCCTTCACTGACATAGGGGAACATCTTTCCTCAGATATACTTAGCCTGCTCAATGCGGTTCTCATCTGAAGTGAGAGGGGAGTTTGCAGGGAGGAGCGTTTTTTTGAGCACAGTGCCCACGTTCTGGAACTCAGTTCCATTGGAGCCATGGCCTTTTGGCACTAGCCAAAAACGTATTTGTTCCGCAGTTATTTTGATCAGGCAATCTCTTTATTTCTATAGATGTTTTAATCTTATTTTTATGTTGTGATGCTGCCAATTTGTGTTAATGCTAGATTATGGTATGATTCAATTTTAATGGGTTTGTTTTACTTTTGGGATTATGTATTTATTTTATTTATTATTTTTATTTTGTTTATCTTGGTTTTATCAAATTTGGATAGGTTTTTTTTTTACAATTTTATCACTATTGGTTTTTGTAATTGTGAATTGCAATGAGTGCTGTATTGTTTTACGCTGTTATGGATTTAAATGATGTAAGCCACCCAGAGAGCTTATGGCTGGTGGGGCAGCTTAGGCAACAAACAAATAAATAGTTGAGAATCTGTGGATTTTGCTTTGGCTACACAGAAACATAATTATTTTAATTGAGTTATCTGCTGCCTGTACCATCTTCCTGCCTCAGACCTTATTATTTAAAACCATAATAGAAAATTAGGTTGAGCATAAAGCCATCATAGCAGAAAGTATTCATAACTTCCTTTTCGGGAAGATGCTTCGCTAACTAGCTTCTTAGAAATGAAGTGGAGATGAAAGATCAGAGTGTGATTTCTGACCGGAAAGGAACCGTTTTTTGCACTTAAGTCTGGCGAATCATGGGCATGGCCCTCTTCTTCTATCACATGTGTCCCTGTCCCAAAGCACCCATTGCTCTGTGAACCCCCCTCCCCTTCACCCTGAAGTCCCACCTGGGCCTGTGGTCTGGTTAAGCTCAGCTAGATTGGCAAGTGGGCTAGCCATTTCCTAGTCCCATTGATGGGCTCAGTTGCTTGAGTTATGGCAACAGGACAACCTATTGCGGGTACAAGAACCCTTACAACAACCCATAGGCTTTTAGGATGGCTTGTTGCCGTCAAACAAGCTACCTTGCACAAATGGTCTAGGTTCACACAACATGAAGACTCATCCTGTCTTGCTACCTGTGGCAAGTTGTCCTGTCATGTGAACCCAGTCACTGGGTGAGTTTGGATGGTACATTAGATCCAGAGTGACTATTTAGCACAAAGGCTGCACTTCTGTGAACATTTATCTGCACATAAAGTCCAGCAAAAGTAGTGGGGCTTAATTCTGAGTGAACAAGCACCCAAAGGCAGATTGGATGTTATGAAAATATATCATTAAAATGTTTAATATGAAACAAAGAGCTAGAATAAAGACTTGAAAAAAGAAGGATAAATGAAATAAAGACTGGTCAAAAATTACCTTTACAACAGAAAGGATCTGTGAGTTGAATGTTTGTGAAGGGAAAGAGTGAGATCCCTCAGTCAAAAGCTGTTGTTATATTATGCATTATTTTATTCACTAAAGAAATATGTTACTGAACATCTTGAAACCAATATACTTCTTGTACAGATAAAGTTTTATTTTGTTTATTGTTAACTCAGAGCCCTAGGCTGCTTGAATATCAGTGTCTCACCCTCAGGACCACATAGTCCAGTGAAGGAGTCTTCTAACTTGGGCCCAATAATATGGGAGAAGTTAATTAATATGATTGGAATTAAATTCCTGGTGGCAGCATTACATACATAAAGAGAGGCAGATTCAAGAAAATTAAAGAAACACCATATTCAAGCAAATTATAGGAGAGTACTAGTGACAGAAACTTTTTCCTTTCATTTCAGAATGAAAACATTTGAAAGGAGAAGGATGGGGTCTTTCAATGCATCATTACATATTTTATATAGAATTCCACTAAAAGCAGAAGCAATTATGAATATGCAGGGCTAAGATACTCACCCAAGGCTATCACAGCTACCACGAGGATGACATTCCCAATGCAGAGAGCAACCAGGAGCCAACGGGAGTGCTGCAGCTGGAATGTATGGCAGGAATTTTTTTAACTGAAGCGTATGCGTGAAAGAAATGCTTGAGTTTGCGTCCCTCCAATTGACTGCAGGTTAAAGAATTTTATAATGCTAAGACACGAAGGAAAATGAAAGGGTTTTTTCCCCACATAATGTTACCCACACATACACATTTACCAATATACTGAATTTACTCCTTGATCGGTTTAAGGATAGTTATTGATAGTATAACTCACCTGTGCCATTTTCACACTCCAATATTTAATGAATTACTAGGTTACATATTTTCCATGTTCTGGCAGCAAAATTTGATACTCCCAGGCATTTTGCAGGTTATGATAATGCTTTTAATTTGGGTCCTGAATTTTTTTATTATTGATTGCTAAATTGGTTAGGGGTATGTGTGTTGTTTGTTTTATAAGTTTGCATTTAAGCTGTTTTTATAGTATGTACTATATTGTATTTTAAAAATTTTAATCTCTGTCAGCCACCCAGAGAGCTTTGACTATTGGGTGATAGATAGTCAATAAAATTTATTTATTTAAAACATTTTTACCCCAACCTTTGCCCAAGCCTCAGGACGCCTTACAAAAAATTAATTAATAATATGAAATACAATTAAAACATTCAATAATAACAACTCAAAAATAACAGTAAGAACAATTCAAAACTAAAGAAAGAGGGGAAAAAAGAAGAAAAAGAAAATGAGACTGTGGACAATGTTATTAATTTGTTAAAATTATTAAATTAGTTATTAAAATGAAGGGTAAATAAAAAGGTTTTTACCTGGCGCCAGAAAGAGTAAAGAGTCGACGCCAGTAAAATGAAGTAAAATCAAACGGTTCTCTGCAAACCAAAATAATGATCACATTTTCCAGAGAAATTGCTGCTGAATCAAAGATTCATTTGAATATCAGATGAATTCTGATCATTCAGTGTAGAATGGCAAAATTTTTGGGAGGAAATTTAACAAAACACAGCTAGAACTGTAGCTGAATTTCATCATCTTCACCACCGCCATTTGAGAAACCCTTTATCATCAGAGAAAAAGAATGACAATGTATAGAAGTCTGAAAATTGCAATGCAATGTACCCACCTAGTATATTCTCCCAAGTATGAAACCCAGGTCATTTTGTTTAAAGGCCTGAAACTGTGATAGCATTTATGGAAGACTCTCATTCCTTGTACAAACTACTGAACAATACTTCCACATACACATTCCCACCCTTAACACACAAACACCCCCTCCCCCGAGACTGGCGGGAGAGAGGAGGAGTGAGAGGGAGAGAGAGAGCTTTCCTCCTCCTTTCTGTTGCTCAAAAATCATATCTAGTTCTGGAGTAGCACAGCTTATTTCTGTGTATTTCACACAAATATCGAGATCATCCTTATGCATTCGTACCAACACAACCAACAAACACGTTAGCATACAAATCAGCAAAGAATGTTAAGACCTGGAAGGGTCCAAACCCATCACATCCATGGAGGCTTCCAGGCTTGCTGCTTCAGCGAGATGACAACCAAACACTAAACACAAACCAGCAGTTGACATTAACACTTACTTACTGAGCTGTTCAGGTGGACAGAGAAGCCTTGGGAATGTGGGTGTGGGTGTTCAGGGATGTTGAGGTCAGCATAAACAATTTCCTCAGCCATGCTAGAAGTGAAGGGTAAGTATTTTAGCCTGCCTGTGACTAGAAGAAAGCTGCTAGTGCCAGTGAGCAGTATGTGAATCTGATCAACACGATCCACAGGAAGTGCTAAACCAGCCCAGATACTAAATTCCCCCTGCTGTCTGTGGGGGTTGTAAGTGTGTCTTTAGTCACATTTCAAGACTGCCTAATCCCTGAGACTCCAGAGAGACCCAGCATCCTAAGGGATACTCCTAAAGGGCCAATTAAAAGATCAAAGAGGTGGGCAGCTCATAGTCTCACTGGTGGGGTGGAGAGCAGGTTAGAAGAAGCCAAGCCAGGGTGTCACTGGGTGGAACCAAGCAGACCTTGGCTGGCCATACCTATGAGGGTGCCCCAAACTCCCCCACCCCCATCCCTCACTATTCCTTTTTCTTTGCCTGTTGTGTATTTATAGATGGTACATTTCTGGGCAGGAAATGCTTTATTTAATTATGTTACTGATTTGCTGTAAGCTGCTCCAGGAGCCTTTCTGGCTCTTGAGTGGGATGAAAAAATGTAGGCAGAAGCAATCCTGTGCCCTCAGGCAGACTCTAGGGGAAGAGGAATGTTCAGAGTCCCAACTGCAAAGCCAGGAATCACTCGCAGCCTGGGAGTGTCCCTCGCTTCCCTTACAGCCAATGTGGATACAATGTGGGCTTTGTGGACATTCTGGTGGACTGAGAGGGGAGAAGGCTGGTGCAGCCCAGGTAAGATGCCTCCTGGAAGCAGCTTGGCCTTCATCCCTCCTCCTCTAAAGCTCCGCAGTGAGAGAGCCCAGGTCAGCTCTGCAGAGGATGGCCATGATCCTCTGAATTTGGAGGATTATGGGCAGCATCCTTGGACTGTACCATAAACAGAGTAAGCAAATCAACAAAAGCTATCCAGCGGGTATTTTAAAAAGCAAAGAGATGAGTCTATGTAACTGTGTCCATGCCCACCTGGCTGCCTCCAGACTATATTTTTGCAATAAAAGTAAAAAGATGTTGCAGCGGTTCACCAGGAATCTTGATGAGCCCTTTTCCAGGACGTACTCAAGTTTCCCATTAAGAACGATAGAAGGAAAAGTGTGTTACTTGAGCGTAATCCTACCCCCGCCCCTCCATCTCTCACTTGGTGAGTGATCTCATTTGATCCTGTTAGTTTCTGTAGATTCAGGTATCCTTGGGCAGGCTCTAGGTATGTCTGCTCTGAACCATAGTGCCAGGCAAGTGGGTGTGCGTCTGCAGCTTCACTTGCGTTCCCCCCTCCGTTCCCCATCCAAAGAGAGAGAGAGAGAAATAGAGAAAGGGGAATGAACACCACGTTGCAACTTACTTGATCTCCAGAAGAAAAGAGAGAGTTCTTTTTTGACTTGCCAGTGGACTACACAGGTGAGGGTTTAAACTATACCTTCTAACATTGATTGGATCCCAGGCACCTAGACTCCTACCTTCTCTCCTGCTGTCCTCTGTCTACCTCCTTTTCTCGTGTGTATGTGTGTGTGGGGCAGGGGAACAGGTGAATTTCAGCCTAAATTTACTGAAGACCAAGGTCAAGATAATCCAAAGTATTCCCAATCATAAACTATAGGTGTAAAAGCAGGACAGTGAAGAAAGCTGATAGGAAGAAAATTGATGCGTTCAAACCATGGTGCTGAAGAAGAGTTTTGAGAATTTCTGTCTTTCTGGTCTGACAGAAAGACAAACATGTGGCTCCTAGATCAAAGCTTTTCCTAGAAGCAAAAATGACAAAATATGAGACAGAGTGACTCCCTTAGGGAAGCCACACCTTTGAACTTGGAAGAGTTGAGTGGCGCTGTCTTGGACAGGACATTTTGGAGGGCTTTCATTCATAGGGTTGCCATAGGTTGAAGATGACTTAGTGGTGCATAACAACAATGAATGGCACCCCAAAAAGCTGGCCCATTCTTTCACCTGTTGGATGCCATATTTTAAAGCTATCTGGCCCATTTAAGAAGCAAGGAAAATAGAAAGGAACATACACAGAAGTTTAGAAATGTGACTTGATATCTCAACAGGGCCATTCACAAACAGCTAACATGAATAGAACATAACTGGCTTGCTCTCTGATCTACAAAACCATCTTGGAGAAGGATGGAATAGCTTATACCCTGGAAAACAAAAACAAAATTAAATTGATCTTGATAGGTTGGAGTGCTGGGCTGAAAATAACAGAATGAAGTCTAATAGGGACAAATGCCAAGTTCTGAACCTAGAAAAGGAATCCAAATGTTTAGATGGGGGATACTTGGTTTAACAATAGTACACATGAAAAGGATCTTGGAATTGTTGTAGATGACAAGCTGAACATGAATTAACAATATGATGTGACTGCAAAAAGGACAAATGCATTAATAGAAATATCACTTCTATTCAAATCCCATGAAGTACTAATTCCCCGTTACTCAGCACTGGGTCATCCTCATTTGGAGTACTGTGTCCAGTTCTGGGCACCCTACTTGAAGAACAATGCAGACAAAATGGAAAGTGTTCAGAGGAGGGGAAAAGGATGATTGGAAACAAAGCCCTGTGAGAAGAAATGAAAGAATCGGGCATGTATAGCATGAGAAGATGGAAGAGAGAAATGGTAGTCCTCTTCATGTACTTGAAAATGTGTCCCAAAGAGGAAGGTCAGGATTTCTTCTTGACTATCCCAAAATGCAGGACATTGCAGGCTCACGTTACAGGAAGCCAGATTCCAAGCTAGATGTCAGGAAGAACTTCCTGACTGTTAGAGCCATACAACAATGGAACAAGCACTAGGGAGGTCCTGGGCTTTCCCACACAATAGGCATTCAAGAAGCAGCTGGGCAGCCATCTGAGAAGGATGGTTTAACTTGGAGTCCTATATTGAGACAGGTGTTGGATCTGATGGCTTCTTGGCCAATCCCACCTTTGGTGTTCTATGATTTTGTGTAGACTGAAGCCTGGTGCAGCCTGTTGATTTAATTAAGTGCAATTCTTTTGAATGGATTGAGTTTAGCAAGGAGATATTTCCCAAAGTCCTTTTTCTTTTCAAAGCTAAATGCTCAGAGACTTTCAGGCCTGGTGTCAACATGGGGCAAGTACTGGAGTCCCAGAGGGCTCATGGAGCCTTATTATTTATTTATTTATTTATTAAAACATTTTTATGCCGCCCCATTCGCCGAAGCCTCGGGGCGGCTTACAACAATAAATTAAAATAACATTTTAAAATATATACATTAAAATACAAATATACGATATAAAACATACAGTATAAAACAATATAAAACAATATTATTGGCTAATGCACTGAGATAAAACCCAATAAACAAACAAATAAATAAATAAATGGAAGTTATGACTTCTGCATTTGTAAGAAACTCTTATTTGAAAGGCTTCTTCTGATAGAGAAGCACCAACTGGGTAGCTGCTGTGACCATCCCCTTGTTTAATTCTAATATTATATATTACTTAATGTAATAAAATTTCCTAGCTGCATTTTCCCTAAATATCTCTGGCCTGCATCATTGTGGCCAGCACAGGGACCATCTGTCACTCCAAGAGGACACTTGGCTGCATCTGAGCTGGTGGTTATGGACTCCTTCACTCTGGATGGCCCCTGCCACTGCCCACATACCCTCCCACCCTTTAAAAGAAAAGGCATTCCCTGTACCATCATGGGCTTAGCCATTTGTTCTGGCTGGTTGCCTCTGCCACCCTGCTATTGTGTTGGGACTGGGAATTCCTGGCCAGGCACAGGTGTTACATTTTGCAAATTGCATTTGTGAGAATTCGCACAAACATGTGGCGCCTTTCAGGTCCTTTCCCTGAAAGGCATCCAGCCCCAGGCAGTGCAACCACCGCTGCTTAGGTGGTGGATTTAAACAAAAAATGGACTCCATTCAGGATCTTAGCCTGGGTTGGCAAGTGACAGAAGAGCTGCTTTCTGTGACAAGGAAGGAGTTGCATTGGATGGGAGGGAAGCTTGCATGGGACACAATGCTGAATGGCTTATTGGCTACCTCATCCAAGCCAGCCAGTCCAGAGTCCAGGTGGGCTGTGCTGATTGCTGCTGGACTGCTGGGAGATTGCACGACTTGGAGCGGTAGCACCTCCATCCTCCATTTTCACATGTATGGAGAGAACAGAGATGAGATTGTTTTCATTATTACATTCATATTTATTTATTTATGGACCTGATGGTCTTCATGACCCCTTCCAACTCTACTATTCTATGATTTGTATGCCACCTGACTTGCCCATAGGCAGCTATGAGAATTGTCTTCCTGGTTCTTAAAAGCTTCTTGTTGCTCTTTCTTTGTTCTTGTTTTATTTTTATAGGGCTGAGTGAGAAAAACACTCCCTCAAGGTGTGGGGGATATACAGCAGAATGACTTTTTGAATGTTTTCAGAAAATTTTGCTAAGTTCTAAAGGCTTCTTATCTGGGTGGCTCACATTGTATTATGATTATCAGGGTAAATATGGCTGTATGAATTCTCCCTTTCCACTCATCACCTTGAAGCCCCTTGATTCTCCATGGGACTGGAGTTGTTGGTGGAGCAGGACATTGAGTCACCCCAACATATTTTCTGGTCCCTTCAACTTTGCCTCCTCTGACCCGCCTTCCATCCCACCAGATGGGCCACCAAGCTCCACTGATTGCCCTTACACAGCTCTGAGGTGTGATCACACTCGGAAAGCTGTGTACAGTTTTGGCTTCCACACCTAAAACGATATTGTATGATTGAGAAAATTCTGTGCAATGAAAGGGAACTAAACTGATCAAATATCTGAAGCAGCTCCCTTTTCAGGAAAAATTGCAGCACTGTTTAGCTTTAAAAAATGGTTAAACAGTGGAGACACAGCAGAGGTGTGGAACATTATGTATAATGCAGAAATTGTGGATATTTTATTATTTAAACAAATAAATATAAATTGTTTTCTGTAGACAGCTGGTTAGCCACTGTGTGGGCAGAATGTGGGGTTGAATAGATGCTTGTTTTGATTCAGCACTGCTGTT